CAATACAAAAGCCGCTACGCTATCATATATCAAGAAAGCAGTATGAAAATTAAAATTATAACGTTGTCCGCAAATAAACTTATTCTTGCTATATATTGCTATCATCTATAAATTCATCTATCTTATAATAGGCTTTTTTACATAACATTTGTTTAATATAAGATTTGAATTGCCTCTCTGTAAGATTTAGCGTAGACTCTGGCAGTTTATTATAGAATCTTACGCAATTACCATAAAATGAATTACTAACTTTGTGTAGACGGCATTTAGGTAAAATTAGCTTATTTTTATTGCGTAAGTTTCTACTTGTACAGTCTTTAAGTTTCTTGAAACTATCTAAGTTTTTCCTTGTATACATAATATTTTCATAAATGTACTGTGAGGCAACGGTGAGGATATTTGATTGTTTAAAGCATTGACGTAATGACTCTCTAGAACCCATACCATAAATAGAACGTATGGCTCTCTTTTGTAAAATAAATATAGTATTTATATCGGCAGCTTTACCCCATAGCAGTATGCCATATGACATAATGCTATGGAAATAACTAAAATACACAAGTTTTGCCGTCGCCACGTCTGTTAATTGCCTTATCCTTCTAATTGCATAAGCAGCAGAACTAAGTCTACTGGCTAATTTTGAAATATGGGGCCCCCATTGTAACTTCGAGTCCACTGTTATTCCTAAAAAAACTGTATCATTAACAAAATTTACTATTTCATCATTAAGCAATAGCTGCGTATTTACTTGTTTTACATTAGGCAGCGTGAATTTAATGCACTTAGTTTTGTTGGAGTTCAATAATAGATTATTACATGTGAACCAATTTAGTATAGCAGAGATAGCATAATTTACATCGTCTAATTGATTACATTGGCGACCAATTTTAAACACTAACGAAGTATCATCCGCAAATAACACTATATCTGCAACTTTCTCTACCATGTAGGGAAGGTCATTTATATAAATTAAAAAGAGAAATGGGCCTAATATTGAACCTTGAGGAACGCCCATTTTTATATTAGTTCCCTTAGACTTTACACCATCAATATCTACAGTTTGCACCCTATCCTCTAGATAAGTTTTCATTAGACTTAGGTCATTATCTCTAATACCATAATATTTGAGCTTGTACAAAAGTGTTTCATGATCTACGCAATCAAAAGCCTTCGACAAGTCACAAAAAACGCCGAGAGCATCCTGCTCGGGATTCGGGAACAGGAATGCTTATACTCGTATATATTTTTATAATTTGCGTTGTCATGACAAATTAATTTTACAAAAATATATATGTGATTAAAAAAATGAAGCAAGCCAAAAATTCTTATAATTGAACATTTTCTCTCATGTATAACGATGACAAACAAAACATAAATACAAGAAATACGGCTATTAAACTCTCCTAATGACTCTTCACTTTATAAAATGTCAGAGAACTGACAGCAGTATTGAAGATGTAAACAACAAGTGTCAAAAGAGAAATAAAAGAAAATCAAAGTAAAAACGAAGAACAGTAAAAGTAAAAGTACTGATGTTTTTTCCGCGAACAGTCAAACGTCTCGCATCATACATCAAAGGAATTGATATAGAAATCCTTTTAATATTAATATAGTCTATAGAATTTAGTTAATCGTATTTATCCTTATTGATGCCCATTTGCGCCCACTGCTTTTTCTTTGTATGTAAATACTCTGTAACAAGTTGTCTTTAAGAGATTGCTTATAGCGATAAGACCGCCTTTTGTAATTGACTTTTTTAACATACTTGTTTTGTTATTTGTCATCTGTGCGTAATTAATAGTTGTTTTTATTATTGTATCCAAAATGTCATCAGCGACCAATGCATTATTAATATAAGAATTCAGGGCGATTGATAGTGGTTATAAAGAAGATATTTTTAGTTTTATCTAAAATAGAAGTGGCAGCGTCAAATTCGATTGCGCTGTCGAGATATAAATAAGTTCTATTCTGGTAGTGGACAATGACTGTCTAAATTGATGATGCTGTCGGAATCATTTAAAGTTAATAAGTCCATAAACTATATTCGTTATTTACGAAATATCCAACAATGAGTTGACTAAATTTTATACATAATATTACTCTAAAAATAAAAAGAATATATGATTATAGACTATAAAATGTAGTGTTCAGAAAGATTAATACAAATTAAAAATCACATTTGATTACTAAGAAGTGATACATCATGAATGGTAAACACACGAATCGAATGCAACTTAAAAGTAAAAATAACACTGTTCGTACAGAAGCCGATGCAAACTTGGCTTGAATTAATAAAGAAAAAAGTACAAAAGTAACCTTCAAATGCAACAGAACAGTTTTGACTTCAATTAATGAAGAAAAAAGTGCATAAGTAACTGTCAACTAAATAGTTAATGAAGAAGACGACGCTCACAACGATGCACATGTTGTGGCTACCGTTGATATAATGATTCAAAATTATAAGACAGCTTGTACGCGAAGCGTGACTACATTATTTATGCTGGCAGCTACTTAATGTGAACTTACGGGCTTGATATTGAGGCGTACCCTTTGGGAGAAATTATTCATGGTTATTAATACAGAACTACATTGGTTACAACATACAGCAAGTATTAAGTAATAGATCCTGTGATTGATAATATATAAAAGGCCATATGAAAATGATGATTGACATGGTATGGTAACAGTTTTAACACAATGAATTCGCCATTTATACAGAAAGTGGAAAGAATACTTTTTTTATGTTTGTTTGTAATAAATAAATTTATACAAAAACTTCTTTTTTCATCTATTAGCACGATTAACGTAGTCTGTATTTCAAGGTGGCTTAACCGCGAAATGCAACTAGTATTCTTCTTACGGTGCAATGGTAACTAAATTTATTTTCCCCATAAAGTTGTAACGACTTTAGCTTTCGGTCGCATTTTTAGGTCTTGCTTTGTGCAGCATGATGGGCACAAAGGACAGAAGAGTAGGTGGGTCATAGTCTAGGATGTTGCTCCGTAACTAGTATGCAGGTAAGAGGAAAAGGAAAGTAATCTAATTATATAGTATGTACCTACCACATGGAAACACTAAGTTAGTCTTAATGACTGCCATTGGCAACATAGAATAACAAGACACCCCCTAATGGATTTAATTGAGATTAGTAACAGAACGGACGGCACAGTTCATGTTTCGTATATTTTCAGATACAGGCAACGAGGTGCCACCCAGACTGTAAAACGTCGTATACAACCAACTCAAGTAAATATAGAATGGAGATTCGCTTGCACGCTTTCGGATGTGATCTGTTATTTTTTATAAGTATAAATGACATATGTAACTAAAATAAAATTGAAAATTTTATAAATCAGTTTAAAATATACGAGAAATCTTGTCAAAACAACTATGTTTTCGGGATCTCGTTTGACATCATCGCCAAATTTGAACCGGTTATGACTTTTTATTTTGCAAACAATGTTATTATATAATAATATTTTAATGTTTTGTATCCGTATAAATTGGATACGATTTCGTAGTCAGTTTTTTTTATACTAAAAAACGAGAACGTAGTAGGCTACTTGTAATTCATCAGATCATATGGAAGAATGCGCGGCTAAAAGCCAGTCTGATACAAAACGTCCATCACGAACTCAAAATAGAAATCAATGAAACTTGTACACATCACAATAAAAGTCAACATTACAAGTAAATTATCGCCATATGCGAATGAAATGGAGCAAGATGATCTTGAAAAACGTAATACTGTACAGAGACTAAAATAGACTCAAGTGGGCCTAATTAGATATAACTAAGGTCGAATGAATTATATAGAGAATGAAATGAAATAATATAGCTTAATTAAGCAATTTAATGGAACTGTAATTCAGTGGTTTCAAGGAATATGGCTAGCTGGCTGGGAGATGTTGTATAATGTTCTTTGATCATAAGAAAGTGTGATCTACTAGTTTAATTGTAGGTCTACAGCGTTTTTATCACCTACGACGGCTCTGCCAATTTTTTCATAAATGTAATAGCAAATATTATTTACAAATAGAACAAAGCGACAAACAAAACGTCGTCATATGACGCCCATGGTACTTTACAATATTCCATTTGCAAGGGAAAAATTGGCACCATTTACTTAAATAGTAAACCAGCTTGCGCGGAGTGTGGGTGTGATAGGAAGAGTACGAAGTCAGGCTAGTAGTTAGTCTATCGTGGCGAAATCTCTAAAAATTGACGACAATGGTTTCCAGCCGAGATTACATCTATACGATCACTAGTCCCTTGTACAAACAAACCTCTGCCTCTCACTATAAATTATGTTAACAAAAAAATTGTTCTAAATAAATGTGTTCAAAGACATTATATTCACTGCATAATATTTGTGTCGAGATAATGGTATATTATTATTAAATATAATAACCTGCAATGCTGTAACAAAATGCTACTGTATATACGCATTTAGTGAACGCTATTATCAAATATAGTGATGACTAAATGTTTTGCTTTGTTGATATAAACTTTATTGGCTTATACTGGGTAGTAACTAGTTTATAGTTTTGTCGATTTAAACTTTATACAAAGTCATCTGAGCGGGCATCTATTTTAGCTGCCAAGCAACTGGCATTGTAAGCAGTATTAGGAAACTGAAGGATAAGAGACGGTGGCGAAACTGCAGAGTATAACGGCGCATTATTCCTGACTAAGTGTCAACGTGATGCCATTTATGTACCTACGTGACAGTCGTCACTTATCATCAGGTAGGCTGTCAACTTAACTAGCATTCCAGTTACATAAAAAAATAGTCCAACTAGTAATGCACCACATCTGGCCCCTTGTGGGCACCGTCGTATTTATTTCCTCGTAAATTTGTTGTAATGAGCTAACTTACCCAATTTCCTTTGTCGTCATATTATCCCATCCTACTTGAGTTCTGCCAGCGTATATTGTCCTCGCAGGCAAGACACTTTATTATCTACTAAACTATAGTAAATAAATCTAAAATAACTTACATCAAAGAAATGCGGTCGCAGCCTCCCAACAGTGTACTTGGCGACGTCTGTAGTGAGCTGTTGACACGCACACCCGAAGAGGAACACCCCAATCACTTTGTACGCTTCCCAAATCCAAGCCGCAACATCTCTTCCCAGGACCGTCCTTGATCTTCCGCCCCGGTAGTCGCGTAGTCTGATCCATTCTGTGAGGGTCATCTGGAGAAAGAATTCACTAGTCAGATCAGCTGACCTTTCGCTCGCAACTGATTTTACAATTAAACGGTAGTTGCGGTTCCATATTTGGAAAAATATTTTCCAATTGATAAATAATGGTAGGAAAATCATTTATTTCACTTCTCATTTAATTTTTTATCTAGTAGAGGTTTGAATTGAGTACATAAGTGATTCGCTAATTTTATTAAGTTAAATGTTCCTGTGTACGAAAATCTAAAATTTCAGAGACAGGGTATTCGGGATAACATCAGGTTAACTTAAAAGTTACGGGAAGTTTGGTACAGTAGATACAGCAGTGAAAACTGCATCCAAAACGATTTGACTGATATTTGTGCCTATTAATGTACAAATACTCGTCTTGTTTACGAACTCTTTCATAAAACTTATTTCATAAAAGCCATATTTCATATTTCATAACAGCCACTATTGGCTGTATATTACTAGAAGTAAAAATTGAATATCATAGCCTAATTGTTCTTGTTTGTTCTTTGTTACATTTTCACGTTATATTTTCACACAACTAAAACACTAACCGGGAAACAATGACACTGGCATACAGACAGATAATATCATGAGGAAGTCAAGCATATGAAATCGCGAACAAACAGTCAGTTTTTATATAGTTTTATTTTTTGTAATTTCGAACGACAATCCGCGAATTCGGTTAGTGAACCAGCGGCCGTGAGGTTATATGTGCAATAATTACACTATAATGTTGCAATTCATGTCCTTGCAGATATGGCGCAGGGTCGAGTCATACGCGGCCTGAATATCTCGAGTGGCAATGTCAGCGACCTACGTCTGTCTTACTCATCTTCATACGATTTAAGAGAGATGCACTTTTCGATAATGCTTATTAAAATAATGTTCATGAAAAAAAGTTTAGCATGAACAAATAAGTGAATGCGTTTTATCAAATTATAAATTCTATAAATAATCCATTCTCCTCCATTTCAAATCCCGGAAACCGGCGTGTATGGATGACGTCTCATTCAGGTATGTATCTGAACGAGGCTAGTCTTATATATCTGTAAGTTATAGGCTTTGAGGACAGGAGAACTGCATTTTAATAACTCTGCCTATCCTGTGAGAGATCTATGAAGATATAATGATCGTTACAAATATTCATCATAGCCATTATTCCATTATGGCGTCGGCGTAGTATGTCCCTTTCTTCCACTGATCGCTATTAGCAGTCACTAATATTACTTACTACAAATTAAACAGTTTACCAGATCTATTGCTGTAATAAACAATTGAAGTATGTTATTTGAAAAATATATGCATAATACCAGAATACCAACGCAACAAACACCACTGCTAATAGTACATACAAATATACTTAGGAATATGAATATTTGAATAGAGCGGGTATCGATACCGTGACCATCGGAAAGTAAGCGTACCAAACCCTTAAACCACCGTGGACGTCTATTAAGTAATATAATTAATTAAAAACATACACACCGACAGTGTCACTTTTTGTCGACAACATCCCCTCCTCTTAATAACCCCTAACCCAATGACTTGAACCCTATTTACGACTACTATGAGCTTTATTTATTACTATAGAAGTGACCATCTTGACAAATCAATGAGGTTGTATTTAACCAGAGGATAATTTTCAGGATATGTGTTGTTTTGCCTATAAAAACACCGTATCGTAATTTGTCAATTCGTTTAGCAGATACGCTACCGCGCACAGACGTACAAAAACGTGAAACTTATAACATCTCTTTTTGTGTCGGAGCTTAAAAAAGAACCCATTCGAAACTGTATCGAGTGAAGTTTCTGAATTATGGCCATTGTAAAAACGACATGTTAATCTAAAATAGTATCAACAATACACAATGATATAATACTAAAGCAGAAGTAGACTTTGTAAAAAGTTGTCTGCACAATATCCACTTTCCCGAGCATAAAGGTGGACTCGATAAAATCCTCTGATTGGTAGGTCATAGTTAATAATGTCCCTTAGAAAACATGATGAATTTCTGGTGCATTCATCCTGTAGTCCATCCATGAGTCATCATGGACCATGGTCATTATCCTTCAATCATGTTCCGAATTTCCGATACCATATATCATTTAACGTGGATGCACCATATATATATATTATTCACAACTAGCATACACAATTTAATTTTATATCACACCGGTACATAAAAAAAATAATACCGGCGTTACAAAAATAACATCAGAAGTGGGATAAGCCCTTAGGGCTTGAGGATTTTCAAGCGCCTGGAGAATAATACATTTGGTCAAGTTGAAAACATAGCGCGTTTTAATTCGACCGCAGCTCCATCTAGTAATTTCTATGGCAAAGTTTCTGTATTGAGAGATTTATAACGCATCTGAATGCGAATTATACGGACTGAAAAAGAAAAATTTAATTACTTTTCCTTTTTTAAGTTGTTAAATAATATGAAACATTATACAGATATATTGTTTATTGGTAGTTTAAAGTTTGACTTTAATAAGTAGAAACATTTGTTATAAATATGACACTACTAGTCGTTCCTGACCGTATATAGCGTATCAATGAGCCATAATCATTACTTTATGGTTTTAAGGATAATTTTTATTAACCTTATGAACTTTTTAACTTGTTGATCCACTTTCCTAACTGATGGGTAGCAAAGTTGATAGTGGATAAAACTACGGATGCGCAGTTCCGGGTAAATAAAGAAATCTATACGGCATTTTATAGCATGAGACCGTACATGTCGTAACATACGTTTAGAAATTATCCTGCCGATCATAACGTATAGGGTTAGTCTTTTTTTGTAGCACAGGGAGCAATGGAACTTGCGACACACCTGATTGTAGTGATATCGCCGCACATAAGCACCCAGATCTCTAGGGTAATTGCCATTGAGTTGTCGGCCTTTTAAGGATGGCTGGGAAGGGGAAAGAATTAAGAAAGGGATTGGAGAGAGGAAGATAAGCGTGCGGTACCTAGTTCACTTTGCGAAATGCGATAGCACTTAACGCGTGATTCTAAGGAGTAAGGAGATGTAGTATTTACCAGTTTGAGCAGGACCATTCGTGCTGCACAACCACGTGGTCATACAGCGTGCTCTATCATTGAACTAACTATAAAAAATACGCCAAGCCTAATATCAGGTAGTGACTTACATGTGATTTATCTATCTAATAAACTTATTTCATGTTTTCTATTTAGAGAATAAGTGATCGTAAGAGGTTCTCAGTTTTAGAAATCCTAAATTGCATTAATAAATATATATTATTTCAATCGATACATTATTGTCTTTATCAATGTAATAGGACTAAAACAATATTGTTTAAATTTTCTGTATGTCTATGCATTTATGCGTGAAAATTTTAGAAATAGGTTAAGCGACTTGGGTGCTTTTATGAATAATTGATGTGTGTATGGTAGCTTTATTTTTTTATTAAATCGGTTTACAAATAAAAAAGTTATAAGAGTGCAAAGTCGCAGGCTAAAGATGTTTGTTTAAATACATACATAAGTAATGTTTGTATTTTGATCGAAATTAAGATATTTTACCCTTTCTTTACCGTCACGCAAATAGAAAGTGTGTGTTTGTCCGTGGCATCACAGCTCCTAAACAAATGGTCTCATTATGATGCGATTTTTTTTGTCTGAAAGTAGATGTTATCGAGATTTTTTTTACCTAACATTTATTATATGTATTTTTGTATTTAGGATTACTTAAAATTTCTTTATTCTATAGTATCAGACCCGCGCTATTTCACATTGCAGCTCCGTTCCTGTTAATCATAATGGTATATAGCCTACAGCCTTAATTGATTAATGGGCTACATAAAATATCCATCAATAAAAGAATTTAGCAATAATTATTTTTTAATTTTATTTACGTAGTACTGGATATCATCCCGAACATTCAAACCCGCAAATACTCTCTTTATAATATTACTGGCTGTACCCGCGATTTCACTAGTCTAGAATTTATAGTCTATGTCTAATATAATCTATAAATTATACTACTGTAAATTTTTATTAAAAATCCGTTCAGTAGTTTTTGCGTGAAAGAGTAACAAACATCCATCCCTCCATACATGCTCAAACTCATAAAGTATATATTTACTATAGATTCTATACTATATCCGCTTCCAGTTCGAAGAATATATTACAATCAGACAGAATTCGATCTCTTGTTGCGCGCTCATTACGATGTATGTCCACTAATACGATGCGCATCGATTATATATCGATACATCTATTTGATCGGTCCACTGATTCGAATGACAGGACGAGCAATCACGTTCTTACCTTTATTGTTCGATGTCAATCGGTATGAAATTGGATAATTATTAGTAACACAATTATTGTTGCGAATAAATTGACTTATACGAGGTTAATAACCCTGATGCAAAAAGAGGGGTGTTATAAATTTGTGTGTGTGTCTATGTCGTCGTAACTCCTAAACGAATGAACCTTTGTGCATTTTTTCCGTTTTATATCTGACTTAATTGAGATAGTTCTTGGGCCCCTCTATATACCTACTTAGTTGATTCGTAAGTTACTTAACGGTGCTGTGTGATTTATCATGAGGTATTATTATGTATGTGTGTGTCAAACAAAAGATAGTGTGTTATTTATTATCTAATATAATGTATTTGTAATAAAAATATTAGCTTTTTGCAATTCTTTTCCTATAAAATTTTATCTGTAACAAATTTCAAACCGTGGAATTTTCGTAAAAAGTGTAAAGTATTTATATTCGTTGAGTGTAATGTATACTATATTATATACATATATTTACAATATATAATAAATATATGTTTAGAATGTAGAAGTACAACCCTAGAATGATAACACACCGCCTTCGTTTTCAAATCAAAAAGTAGTTATATTGTAAAATTGTAGACTTGTATATTTAACTTTAACTTAAATACTTAACCTGAGACTATAACAACAAAAAACGAAAAAAACAAAGATTCGAAATCTTAAAAGAAGCACAATACAATGATAG